AATGAGTAACACAATCACTCACACTGTTAAAGGGCCCATATTTATTTTCTGATCCTGGAGATACCTGGAATTGTGTTTTGTTTTGCTCACACATGTTCAACACACAAACCGTACGTATTTAAACGGATAACACTCTGTTCCACCTTGTGATGTCATTTGATAATACAGGAAGTGCTCCACTGTGTTTCTAAACTTCATACAGCTTCACTTGAATCATATGGATAAGTTCAGCCCTGGAATTGACAATTTACTGAACTTAATGTAAAAGATAGCTGTTAATTTAAAAACTACATGACATCACAAGGTGGAACAAAGCACTTTGAGCGTTGGAGTTGTAGACAGACTAATAAACCAGGCTTAGTCAACTCCAGGTAGGTTTTTTGATGAGGTATCAGCATTATAACATGGCTTAAAGCTCACAAGAGTCAATTTTGTGTAACATAGTACCTTCGTGTAATGTGGCTGAATGTGACAGTAAGGGCATCTGGCATAGTTTGCTGCAATTCTGATGAGAGAGGGAGAAGTGTTAGTAGAAACAGTTGTTGTGGTGGTGGTAGTATTTGTATTAGTACTCAGTTTTGGTTACATTTATTTGCAGATTATTGGCATACTTTTATACTTATTTTAATCCCTAGTTGGGAATAGGTCTGTCATGATATGAAAATTTGAAACTTTATTTAGATTCTAGGAGAAGTCTTGATACACAAAGATAATACAGTACAATGATACCATGTTTTACTGTACACTATAGTTCTGAAACATGTTAAAAACACTCTAAAACTATCCAGAAAAGGTTCATATTTGTTCTATATATGCAGTGTTTTTTTCCGGCATCGATAATTGTTCAAATGAGTATGTAGTTTTGATACTAGACTTAAATATTGATTACAATATTGATCAACAACTCTAGTCAGTAATGGCGATTCTCTGACTTGCAATAAGATCAGACCACCATAAAGAAATTATAATTGTGGCATGAGTTCAAATAACATGACAGGCCCATGATCTTGTAGGCATTTCCAAACTCGGAATAATTTCTGAACCTGTTCCTCGGAGCCTTCAGCACGCTCATGATTCCCACCCACCTGACTGCCTGTGTTCCTCTTTCACTTCTCCCCTCTGCACTTCTCCATAATGCCTTACAGATTTTTACACTCCATCCACCTTTGCGATGACAAGGCTTTGAGGAAATCCAATTCCAGGCCGAGCTGTTTTTCAGAACTTGCTCCTCTCCGCGGGGGCACACACACACACATACACACACACATACACACATATAACACCATCTTGGCAAATTAGTCAGGGAACAAATTACCTGCATTGCGAGTGTGATCCTACGCACTTTGCCTGGTTTGCCTAACACAGGTCTCCTTTTGAAGAGCAGCCATGTGATTTTCTCCCTCGGTTTTGCCCCGTAGGCTCTCCTTTGCCTTCTGCGCGGAGAGGGATTGAGGAGTTGAATTTTAAAAACTATGTATATGCCTGGGCTTATCAGCGTGCGCACAAATGGCATGCAAATCAGAGCAGGATCACACGCCACAGCATTGGAGGCCCCTGCACTCAAAGGCAAGCTTAATTGCTAATTGGGTATCTAGGTGTGAAACGTGTTACTTGCCAATGAGAAGCAAGGAAGAGTGTGCATGTTTTAAGGCCAGTGGTTGAACTAATTAATTTTAATCTAAATGTTATTAAAATGTGTGTGGATTCCTAGCGCTTTTCGGAGGAGGGGAAAACAGCCCGACAGAGGCCTCTAACAGTACTTTCAAGTGGGCTTGTAATACATATGTCATTAGCGGTGTGGCATTGTTGATGGAGCAGTCATACAAATGTGGCCGGCATGGCGGAATAGTGGACTAGGAGCTTGAGATGAAAGAAAAGAGCAAATTTCAGTTTAGGTTTGGGGTGGAAGCAGCTCAATTGGTAGTTCGGACACCAACCGACGAGGCGTTTCATAGTTAGTGATGTTGTGTCCTTGGGCAAGACACTGAATGATTGGCAGTGGTCGGTCAGAGAGGCCATAGGCATGGAAAGTTTGTTATTCTAAATCCATGAATTTTCATGTTTGGTAGTGCCAAGTGGCTGTATTAAAAATGTACCTGCCATTAATTAAAAGGAAAACATGGAGTGGTTATAGCAGTAGGAGCATTTAGGTACTTTATTTCAGTAAATTTTACTTTTCAGCTGAAGAAAACCTACACTGTAATACATTTAACCTATCCTTATTCTACTTGAGTCATGAAAAGTACCTAGACTAGCTGTCTGTTCCTCCTCTAAATGCTGAAAACTTGACTGGTGTGAACTTCTATGGGTAAAACGATTTTATTTTGAATATATTATTAATACGTTTGATTGTGTTCATTTCAACATACGTAACCTGCTGTGAACAACGTCAGTAACAAAACAGGGTAAATCTGTCAGCTTTTGCATGTGGCCAGTCTGGAGTGACATACGTTTGTGGGTGGAGATAATAAGGGGCATTTTGGTCCAGGTGCTCGGTCACACTTAAAAACGTGGCTTGCCTTTGATTTGCTCGACATAATCAGAACCAGGGAAGAAGAGATGTCAGCGGAAGCAGAGGGCTGTCCGCGCACATGGCTTTTCCAAAACAAAAAAGGGGGCAAAGGGCAGCTGGCAGCGGTGACAGGACAGGACCCAGGCGTGACATCTGTATTAGCCGGGAAAGGCTTTGGTTTCGACTGCTTTCCTGTGAAAATGCGACACACATACCTGCCACAGACACAGCGACAGCCCAGAAGAGCCTCGGGCGCTACAATGCTAATGTTGTCGGGGGCTTTGACTTCTCCCAGCCATTGCAACGAGGAGCTACTCCGTGTGACAGCCACGCACGACTCCGCTGCTGATCTCTGCTCTCCTCCGGTCTTTAAACCTTTGACTCCACGCTATATTTTGACAGTGGGGGTAAAAAAGAAAGAAAGGAAGACAACACCAGCCCCGTTTGCTTCCTAAACGCATCTCTGTAAATGGACGAAACGGATATCATGGACTTAACGCATCAGAAAGCGAGGAAGCGCGCGCGTCCAATCAGTTCCGCGGACGAGGCGGTGCACGCCACGCTCAAGCGGCTGCCGATGCGAGCGGCCGAGAGCAGGGACATGTACACCGCGGTGAGAGGAGAGCCGCTGCCCGCTGCCTCGCTCAAGCAGAATGACCACTCGGTGAATTCCTCCCCCAACACAGTGATGCCGGTTCAGGTAAAGCGCGCGCGTAAAAGTCCGGCGATGGAAGAGTTTGGCTACATTTGGCGCTTGTGTGATGTTTTACGATAGGAAGTGTATGTTAAAATGTTGTACACTGATTTTTGTGTTACTGAAGTTATTTAAGTTATATCACAAGGTTTAAAGCTGGTTTATTCACGCTTTTATCCTTGTTTAGCCCTGGTTTAGCACTGCTTTAGTCCTGTTGTTGGCTGGTTTTACGCAGACTTCTGGCTTGTAATCGGTTTTGCCTCAGGTCCTGGTTTAGCCAAAGTTAAGTCCTGGTTAAGTCAGGGTTTTAAGCAGTGAAGACATGTCTAGACCTCTGAGAAGTCTCAAAAGATGAGAGTCTGAAAGATCTGAGGTCTAGTCTCTTGTATGCATTATTGTGTGGTATTGACAAAATGCAGCTTAAAAGCATTTGTAGTTTGCTGTAGTTATGTACTGGCTTTAGAGAAGTTTGCTTGTTAACACACACTGTAATGGGTTTCAGCTATAGGGAACTTTCTCCTCACCCTGCAGCAGTTACAAATCATTCTCTACAATATGTATGTTGTTCAAAATGCTTTGATATTTCTTCTCTGTTTGTGTTTTTGAAGAAAGTATAGTCATAACGAGATAAGGCTTGATTACTGTTAGAATTTCAACTTTAAAACACCTCTCATCAGTGTCAAAATTCACCCCCTCGGCTAAACCATGTTTGTAGGTTACCAGTGCATAGAGACATTTCACCAAAAACCTTATTAGCGTTCTGGAATCAAGGCGGCTCATTATTGCTCATTTCAAACGGTGAAATTGATGCTCCAAATTAATTCATTTTTGGAGATTATGGCCCACAGGAAAACACGCAGGGCACCATCCGGGTCAAGGTCAGGCTGCACAAAGTTTAACTGGAATCAATGTTCCTAACTGTTTTACATCATAATATGAATGATATATGTACAACAATTTACACTTACTTTTAGCAGTACAATCAGATTAAAACTAGGGCTGGGAATCACATGGTCCCTCACGATACGATACATGGCTCCTGGCTAATATCACAATGTCACTATAGATCACTCTTTTTAAGAACCACATGCATTTTAGCAACAGCATTTCTTTGTTAAACCGCTACCTGCATCTGTGTTAATATGAAATACCTCCTTCTTCATCTATTTAATTTAATGTAGGAAAATATGACAAAAATATTCTTGGCGATATATCGATACAGCAGTCCATGATACAGTATCATGGTATATCGTTAAGATCATTTTGCACGTACCTAATTAAAACATTATCTAGTTTTCTAAAATTAGACTAAAAAATATAACCAATGCTGTAGGTTTAGCAAAAGTATCAGTACTGAGCAGGTATGAACCTTTCATGAATAGCTTTAGAATGATCTAGTATAAGACCACATAGACTAGTATACGCCCATGGACCACTATGGAACATAGTGGATGACTGAGGGATTACACAGATATGACACCAATTATAATATAATAAAGTACTATGATTTAATGTTGAAGATCACATTCTATTGTTAAAGAAAGAGTGTTCTTTATTATCATTGTGGCATTAGAATCGGTATTAAGTAAGTCTATTCCTTAGTTTTGAAAATGAGTTTGAAATTTTTGTACCGTAACAACACTACAAGGCTAATGTTAACATAACTGAGCATTGTACATTTCACAATAGCATCTTCTATATCTCACTCATAAGCATCAAGAGAATTTAAGACTTTAAGACTAACGCCTATGCACTGCTATCTATGTAACTTTTGCATTTTACTTGTTTTGTCAGGATAATCGCTCCAGCATGTCTCGGCCCATGATCACGCGGTCACCAGTCTCTCCTCTGAGTAACCAGGGCATCCCCACACCGGCACAGCTTACCAAGTCCAATGCCCCAGTGCACATCGATGTGGGCGGGCACATGTACACCAGCAGTCTGGCCACTTTAACCAAATTCCCAGAGTCCCGGTAAGACAGCTAACGTTAGAAGTGCTATTGTATTAGATATTAGATGTTGCTATATTATGATGTTGTAATTACTGAATTGTGAGCTCCTAGGCCTAAAGTGTATGACTTGTTACAGTGATATGGTATAAAAGCAGATTCAACTACATAGACCATGATGCCTTGCTGTAACTCAGGGGGACCAACATGAAGATATCATTGTGATTTCATATTTGTACTAACCTAAACTTTTATGACAACATTTTTTGTCTTACTGTATTGTCTGAAAATAATCATTTTAATTTCACAAAAGACGAGAGAGACAAGAGGAAAATTAGTATTTCAGCAATGTTGTAAGTAGGGTAGCACAATATATCACAATCAAATCGAAACTGCAGTTTGAGTTGGTACAAATATCAAATCCCAAAGGCTGCAATTATTTTGATAATAGAATGGCATAAATACATTCAAAAATAATAGAATGGCATCTGAAAAGAATAAATAAATATCCTGTATTTTTATAGAAAAATCATGTACCTAGTTTAGACCTCAGCAAACATATTCTGGAATGCATGGGATTCTTGTATTAGTTTATCAGTTCATATTTCAGTCTTCTCTCAAATGTTATTGCTCCTGCAGATGTTTACAGTGTGCACTCTGAACAGAATCCTACTTTTCAAACATATATCGCAAATCTAATCGCAGTACTTTTTCCAAAATGTAATCATCCCCAGATTAACTGTATAAATATAATACAGTAATAATACACCAGTAAAATCCCTTGTTTGTGGATAATCTAAACACAAACCTACATCACTGAACAGAAAGCAGAAGTGCAGCAGGCAGACAATAGCGACTTGGTTATTCTGACAGATGTCGCAGCAGCAGTGAAGGGGCCAAAGGGTGAGGGGCCATCTGGAGGCTGCCGGGCTGCACTGTCGCTCCGGGCCGTTGCCTTAGGGTGACTGGCACCCGCCTGGAGCACCCAACACCCGGCTCACTCTGACCTCCACAGCACCTCCGATTTAGCCTGTTTTTAGCACTTCTGTTTGCTTCTGTTGCCATTGTTCTTTATGTCTGTTATTTTTAAGTGCCATATATACATTGGTTACATAATGTTAGAGCTGCAAGTTTAATCACAAATTGGTTGAAATTGTGATTTGAATGGACGCGATTAGCAATTTGCAAAGGATGGAAGTTTTGCAGTACCATTGTTTCCTCAACAAACATCAAAATATCCAGTTTTATTCTGCATTTAAAAAAAAAAAAAAAAAAAGCCATCTCTTCAAACACGTTCTGAAATATTATTAGTTTGTTTGTGCGGTCTTTTTGCTCATTCTTTTGGACAGATTTAAATTGTGAACTTTTAACAGAATCTGATTATTAAACCATAAATGAGTTGCAGTCACATTTACTGAAAGATAAATCACAATGCAAAATGTTTTCCCAAATCATTCAGCCCTATTAACAATAACCCAAAAATGTTATTTTCTTCTTAAAAGTAATGGCCCACACTTACATCAGTCAGTGTTAAAAAGTCTTCTGTAGGACTACGCGTGGGAGGGCATCTGAAACAAATTAAACATGTGAATATACCTTGAAATGAAATATCTTATTTGCTGCCAGTGCCAATAGAAACATCATTTAATGCCTATGAGATGGGTAGTGCAAAACATTAGTCTGAGAAAAACCCACAGATTGAATATTCTTGTCATGTAGTGAGTCCTAATTTAACGTAATTTACTCTTTGTGCCAATTCAAAGCTTGGATAAACTGGCATGTCAGAATCTGAGTTTAAGTCTTGGCTAGCCTAAATTAAACATACCTAGCTCAAGTTATCCTTGTTTATAAGCTTTCCCAATTTCTTTATTTTTCCTAGTTTGAATCACCAGTGCGGGAATAGACATTTGCCTTTAATTAGATGAGATCACTTAAACCAAAGCAGTTGTAGCATCTCTGGCCCAAATGTGGCGGTATACTGGCTGAACATTCTGAGCTCTTCTCATTGCCATGATCATTACAGCCTTCTAATCAAGCTGTAGGGATCCCCAGCCAATGTAGTTCTTATAGCCTCGAGCTTGTACAAAAAGAATGGCTTGCATCAGTAGGAGCAACTGCCTAAGGTGAAATCAATAATATGAATTCTCATTTATAATATAATACATAACAATAATGATTCTCTCAAATGATAGAATGAAATAGGTAAGTAGGAAGTAGAGGTGTAATGATGTCAAAGTGTTATCATGTATTTATTGAAGTATGCTGGGGAGACTAATGGCATTGTGCTTTTTCTAAAATTGTCATTGATACGCCATTAATGAAATCAGTATTATATTAATAGTACAATTGAACACAATAAAATAAAAAACAAATAAATAAAAGTTTGTACTCAAATGAAGAAAATGGTCATGGTCTATGCAGTTCCCCATGCAATTTGCCATTTTGCTGGAACAAAACAATACATTTTAGGCCCCGCAGCTGACAGTTTAAATATACTGGCTGCAACGATTAATCGCAAAATGAATCACTGATTAGTTGATTAGCTGACTACAAAAAAAAATGTTAGTTACAGCTCTAAATGGCAATCCCAATTTAAGAAGTAGTTTGTCTGTAGTAGCAACTAATCGCAAAAGTTTAGCATTTTGTACCTTTTTTTCTCAGGTATCAGACAATAGATTAAAGAAGTAGATGATGTAACCGAAATGTCTTGAACTTGTCCAATGCAAACATGGAGATAAATTGCCTAACCCGCTCTGCCCTCCCCTCTCTGCCTGCTAGAATCGGCCGTCTCTTTGATGGCACAGAGCCCATAGTCCTGGATAGCCTCAAGCAGCACTACTTCATTGACAGGGATGGACACATGTTCCGCTACATCCTCAACTTCCTCAGGACGTCCAAGCTGCTCATCCCGGACGACTTCAAAGTGAGTGTTGAGAAAACTGTACAAAGTCCCATCAGCCATCAGTCAGCACTCCTTCAAGTCTGCACACACAATGAATGCTAAGGCTTATGCTATATCCACACTGGAGGGAGATTGTAGTAGAAGCAGGTGGTTTAGTGTTTTTGCCTATCAAATAAAGGAGGTATTTTTTATATAGTAAGTGGCAGGTAAAAAGGAAGTACAATGCATTTAGATTTATTAGCCAGTGCATGTGATAGAATTGATTCATGAAACCTCTTAAAAAATCTAGCAGCAGTCTGAGCATGGGTTTCAGCCATAGCAATTAACAATTCATAACAATATATTATATCTTTTGAATGGTAAATCATCCTCAATGGCACCATATAACAGGAAGCTGAAACCCATTATTTCTTATAGGTGACATTTGATGGTCTTTGCCCATTCAAAAGATGTAATCATTTGTTTTGAATTGTTAACTGCTATGGCAATGGTGATAGATTTTCATCACTCTGAAACCCATGGAAACATCAACAACAGTAATTCAATAAATAAAGGACTAAGTAGTGCAGGAACTGAACAAAAGCACTGTTCAAGAGAGAAGTTTATGCCAAACACAAAGCAAAAGATTACCAACACTGACACATTTACTTTTCAGACCAAAGTCAAGTTAATGAAGGCATCATTACTTGCACACTTGCCTCAGCTCTACTCACAGCAAAAAGGTCTTTCTATTTGGAGTTTGTATGTTCCTCCAGTTTCAGCCATTAACCTAAAATATTCACAGATATACATAGGATAATCCACTAGCAAAGTAATCTGACCCACAGCTCTGACCCATATTGCCGGGTCATAACCTGGAAATGGGTTGTCAAGCACTGCACTTAACTGGGACAGCCCCCTGACAGGTCGCCCAGACACAGTGGGTGAATGATGGATCAAATGCAGGGAACAAATACTGAATGACATTTGTCTTGAATATTCATAGCATAACAAAGCAATAACTTCATACAGAGACAAAATAAGTTCTCGGGTAACATTTAGTTTCCATGCCTTGCCTATCCATCGTTAGTTTTATTGTGTGCAATATATTAGGTTTTTATATTGCTGGTTGCCATTTTGGCTGTAATTACTGAACTTGCCCAGAGGGAAAACAAATAAGCACATTATCAGATGGACTGTCTGCAGGGCGACTCAATCACTGTAAAGTATGTCAGCTAAAATAAGCAAAGACAAAGCACAGGCCTAGGTTCACGCTGAGGCCAGACTTAGAATGGAATGGATTTTAGGAAAGCACCTAGAGAAAAAGATTATACATTTTATGTGCAAGTGGACCAGTGTAGAATCTGCATTATCATGATAAGACCAGCAGGCTACAGTAAACATTTACTGTAGAGAGTAAAGCATGAATTTGCTGGACATCTGCTTCCAAATACTGCTTCAGCCAGTATCCTAGTTGGGCATATTAATTGATGTAATATGAATATTTAGTGGCCGTAGTTGGCTCAGAAAGTCTGTTAATATTTGAACTTTTATTCATACAAAGTTGTTTTGCAGTTACAGCTACATAACAGATGTTTATGGTTGATATTTAAAGGGATAGTATCTAAATTGGTACTGAAACTGAAAAAGCTGGATCGTTGCACCTACTTTGTAGTTTTGTCAAAGCCCAGGCCAAAGAGCTTAATATGTGATATTGTAAATGTCCAACTTTAAAAAGAAAAAATCTCACCAGTGATTTATTCACAAAAGAGCACTGTAACAACCCTCGGCATTTATTAGATGAATACTGCAAAAGTCTATCATGTTACATTGCAATAACACATTAAAAGAAAGCATATTGTCTCCATAACATGAACCCTTCATGTACCTTCTTCTCAGGACTACAGTCTTTTGTATGAGGAAGCGCGGTACTTCCAGTTGCACCCTATGCTGTCGGAGCTGGAGCGCTGGCGTCAGGAGCAGGAGCTGAGCCGTGTGTCTCGTCCATGTGAGTGCCTGGTGGTGCGTGTGGCTCCGGACCTGGGCGAGAGGATCACCCTGAGCGGAGACAAGGCCCTCATCGAAGACGTCTTCCCTGAGATCGGAGACGTCATGTGCAACTCGGTCAATGCCGGCTGGAACCATGACTCCACACATGTTATTCGCTTTCCTCTCAACGGGTACTGCCACCTCAACTCTGTCCAGGTAACTACTACGTAATACCTACATTTAGGCCTGTCATGATAATTACTATATCGACTTATCGTTCAATACTTTTTTCAGTCATTACTTTTCACAGTAGATGTGGTAAACTGTTTGTTATTTTTCTGTTCTAGGATTAGATTTGAGCTGTAAAGGGGTTGAATAAATAACTTCTATGACTCATTATTGATACAAACGAACTACTTAACTGTTTCAGTCTGTTATTTATTATTTATTGCAGTTCTTATTTTTAACAATATTGCAGGTTTAAAATAGTCTTAGGGGATAATCCTGCTTTAGGGATATTGTATCAGTGTCATAAATTTGTTTCAGTATTATTCTTTATAATCTACATTTTCTTCAGCAGTATATCATACTTCAGAATTTGTTATCATGACAGGTTGTTGTTGTGGTATGTTAAGATAAATTACTTTTTGAATCTTTTAACTATATTTTTATATTGTGTGTATAAAAACAGTCCGTGAGATGTTTTTTATTTTCTTTCATCCATGACTCACTTAGTCTGTATGCCAAGCTCATACCCATGTTTTATGTCCATACACTTTCCCTCGCCCTGACTGCTAAGTGCTGCTAATTATCCAGATCAAGAAAAGACCATGAAATGTGATGAGGGAGTTATACCTAGGATCAAGGAATTTCCACTTTTTATAGAGGTGTTTTTCTACAGAAAAAGAACTAAAAGTAAATAAGGTGCACAAACACCAAGTATTCTCTTCAAAAGGCTATTTGAATAAACATAACTTATTTAACGTATTTCTACCCACTTCTGATTAGGAGGGACATTATAATACAAAATTAATAGTACTAGTAGTAGCAGCAGCAGCAGCAGTAGTAGTGGTATAATTGCAAATATATACAAATAGTATCAGTAAAGCCATATATAAAAGAAAATAGATTCAATTTCATTTCAGTTCCTTCTCACAAAAACTCCATTAGTGTGAAACCAATGCAGTTTAACCAGCCATAACTCCACTGTACTGATCTCAACTTTGACTTCAGCATAGTCCTACTTTATTCGGACATTGTACAAACTTGTTTATCCTTACAACTTACCCCCACGAGGAAAACAGATGGAGCTTGAGTGCCATTATAAACTCCTATAGTGGCTGCTGTGGGGCGTCGCCACTATAGACTATCTCAAAGGGCGATAATTGTACACTTCACAAATGGAGAAATCTTCCATCAAGGTGGATCGTCACATGAATGCGCGGACCGAAGGGGAAGAGGCTGACAGCATGAGGAAGTGAGCAATTTGGGATGCAATAGACACAAGATGGTGCCCTTGAGTGTTTAGCAGGGTTCAAATCAATGCTCCATTTTAGAATCAAACCCATACTTTTGATTGACAACTCTGGCAACCAAAACAGCCGTCTCATTTTCTTGCTTTTGCCCATTTTCGGGTTGGGATGTGTCAATATTGCCTTTACGCGATTACATATTAGATTTAGACTTAGACAAACTTTATTGATCCACAAGGGAAATTATATGGACACAGTAGCTCACACATCATAGTATAATATAATAACAAAGAGCAAAAATGTAAATGGTAATAATGAACCCAAAACAAATTGCAAAACATAACAAGAGACTGGTGTCAAATAAGGCATAATTATGTAAATGTATATGTAAAAGTAAAAATAAAAAATATAAAAATATAGTAATACAAATATAACCTATATCACTCAGCTACTAATATATATAAGAGGTCATAAAGAGAAAAAAGTGCAAAGATGAAATAGTGATTGACATGACAGAATGTTATCTATTACATAAGGGCGAGTTGTTGTACAGTTGTATGGAGTATGGTATGAATGTAGTCCTGTATCGCTTACTGTTTGAGCAGATCTGTTTGAGAATAAGCTCCTCTGCCTCTCTTTAGTCTTAGTCTAAAATATTGAAATACCGCTTATTCATTGATGACACAAACCGCCAACTTGTGTGAATAAATGAACGCAAATGTGCATGTAAGACAGGATTTAGCAGTGATTTGGCCTATGTCTCCATCAGAGGAAGTCCAAAATCTAACACACACAAACAACACATCTCTAAAGTGTGTGCGGGAGTCGTGGAGAGCAAGCAAGAGACTGAGCACGCTCCCTGGCAGGTTGTCCCCAGGCAGGCCCATAATCCTGTTTGGATATTAAAGCTTGCCGCCGGTGGATGCTGTATCTGCCGCTAATGGAGGCAAGGCATTTTTTTTTTTTTTTTTTGAGAGAGAGGGAGAGAGAGAGAAGGAAGAGGGGGAGAGCTGCCAGCAGTAGAGGGACCTTTGTAGTTTTGGCGGAGGCTTGGGCCTGAGGGGATCTGAAAGGGGTGGAGGAGAGAGAGAGAGAAAGAAAGAGAGAAAGAAGAGGGGTGGTTGGTCGGGGGGGTGGTTGCCGAGTGGCCCAGACCAAGCCAAATGGCGGGGAGAAAGGCCCGGCTACTCCCTGGGGGCTCTTTGATGGAATGTGATCCTACAGCCCTCCCGGTTACGTCTGTGGATGTCTGCAAGGCTCCAACCACACACAACCGCGCAATATGCACTCCAGAAAACAATGAAAATAGGGGTAGAAGAGTTGTAGCAAAACACAATAAAAAAGTCTGATCCAAATTCTCATCACAGACCGTATGCTGTACCACTCCCAAAGCTATTTCCAATGCTAGACTCCAACTCGGCGGTGCAAAACTAGCCAGACAAACTGTCAAATTCGCCAGCCTTGCGGTGGTAAACAAAAGGTTAGAGGCCAGCATTAATGTTTAAGCATCACATTATAGGGCGACTGCAGATGCCAGGAAATTATGCAGCATCTGGATGGAGTGTGAAATGACCGAGCAGACCTAAAACTGGCCGTCTGCATACAGTGTCAAAAGGCACATCACACCTGCCTGATCACTTCTCATGCTCATTTGTGTAATAATGTACACCTCCACCTGTCTAATGGATAGGTGTATCAGTATGAGCATAATGGCTAATAGCTTTAATGTAATCACAATGGCAGACTAAATTAAGTTATAATAATGGTCTGGTGTATTTGATTTGTATAGCGAGTGCAGACACATTACATTATTCATAGACTCCACACATGGCTATGCTACTTCTCTAACCACATTTTTCCTTGCAAGCCTGTCACGATAAACTTTGAAGCATGATATATTGCTGCAGAGAAATATTGCAATAAATTATCATATTGAAACTAACTCAATATCACTTACACAAAATAAGATAATCCCTTTAAACCGATTTTTAAAGGTGCACTGTGTTAAAGCTCCCCTGCTTGTCTCCATGGAGCCTAGAATGTTCCACAGTATAGCTATAAACTTAGATTTGTGGAGAGGCTACCCCACTCACAGTAAGATTAATGTTTTGATTTTGTTTTAACGATATTTTTCAGCAATAAGTAACACTTGTAGTTGAATAAATGCAAGACAGATTAGTTTAATACCATACTGTGGACAGTTTAAACCAAAGCATCAACATCTCCATGGCAACAAACAGGTTGCGGACCCTCTGCAGAAAAGTTACACAGTATTATTAAAAGTAATGAGCTGCAAACAATACATGACGTAATGAACCAATAATTAGCTATTTATTCTGCTCTCTACAGGTCAAATTTTACATTATTACATGAAAATCTAAAAAATCTTGAATATTGAGGCCCAAAATACATTGTTCCAGCTTTCATATATTGAATGATAAGTTAATATAATAATTATTGTGACAGGTCTATGTCCTTAGGTAGACTGAAAACAGAGGCTGCCACTCTGTGCCATCAGCCCCTCCGACCACATCACTCGAACACTATGAAAGGGCAACATGGGTTAATAGTCTTGCCCCGTGACACAATGGCACTATGCACTGGTCCAAACTGGGATCAAATTGCCAGCCTTTGAAATGGATAGCTCTGATCACTTAACATCTGTTATAACATCTGCATAACACATTAAAGTATCATATGTTTTGTGTTTGCATCAAATCTCATTTTGTTTACTTTTATGCTACATTCCCTAAAAGTTGCAGTTTGGTAACACAATCCTTATATCTACTGTATAAATTCTGAAATTCTAACTTGTATGGAATTCAAGGGGTAGCAACCTTTTTTTGCTTACTTAAATTAGTTAGAAACTTAACTAGAAAAGGAAGGTTGCAAGAGATTTAACCACTGTACGAAATGTTTTGTGTGATGCTTGCTAAAGAGGACATTTGAGTCAAATGGCAGTAAGCTCCATGGCAACCGTGGCTAATAGCTAGAGCAGAGTTGTCAAAATTACTAAAATCAGATCCTAATCAATACTAGAACTATTATCGAACCTAAATACTCATTTGGGCAGGTATCAATACTAAAAAAAATTACAGGGCAGCCATGAATGTTTCTTGAATAGCTTTAGGGTGATTTTGAGCTGTATCAAACCAAGTACAAGACCATATAGACTAATAGGCGCCTATGGGCCTTTATGGAACCTACCCGGACGACTGAGGGATTACACAGATATAAGGCCACGTGATAATATATAAAGAAAGTATAATAAATTAATGTTGAAAATATTGTCTATTGCCTAAGAGTGTTTTTCATTAGCATTGTGGTATCAGAACTGGTACTGAATATTGAGTCTATTCAGTATCAAAAACAAGTTTGAAATTTTAATATTGCGACAGCACTGGGCTACAGAAGTTACATACAAATTACTTATATGTCACTGTTTGATTCTAGGTGCTAGAGCGTCTGCAGCAGCGGGGCTTTGAGATCGTGGGTTCTTGTGGCGGTGGCGTGGACTCCTCCCAGTTCAGCGAGTACGTCCTGAGGAGGGAGCTGCGGAGGACAAGTCACCGAGGAGCGCTCAATTCAAACAGGATAAAGCAGGAGCAGCTGGACTAGAGGCCTCCCACACACTAGGAGGTGCTAGACTTTTTACTTGTGGTGACTGAATGGCACTACCGAGTTTTGTGGACTATTTACTTTTCCGAATTATCTTTTTTTTTTTGCCATAAGAAGACTTTGTTTTGGCATTTGTGATTGTCTCACCCCCTTAAAAACAAAACGCTGGATCCCAAATAAAGATTGTTTAAGCCTACATTAGGTTGCATATGAGTTTCTATGTTACCCCTTTAAATTAAAATTCCATTGAATAATATTGTAGTATGTTGCTTAGCTTGTCAGCACTGAATTGAATTACTCTCACTGGCCAATATGTTTATTTTTTATCCCACACTGTAAAAAAGTCACAGATGTGTTGCTTTACAATGCAGAATGTCTCATATGTCATAAACAATTAATTTCAAAAGAGTTTTTTTCAGCATATTGTAAAATTGTGATACCAATGAAGTGTTTGAAGAGAATATTTGATTTTCATCTCCACATCACACCTGAAGCTTTAGTTTAAAAATGTCAGATTTTGCTGTATCTGGGATTTGGCTCTTACGATTTAATTGGACGCACTACTGTAAATTTTTCCACCACTGTAAATGTGTTTGTGATTTTTACATTGAATCTTTTTTAAAGGAGAACATGTTGCCTCAGACTGGACTGAAAAGATGAAAGATTATTGTACTACCCACTTTTAGTCACTTTCACTTTAAGATATGAAGTTGCTTATAAAGTATTTCTTGAGATGACTGACCCTCCTACGCTCCCTAAATTATAGAGGAATGTAGCAAAAATTATGTCGAAAACATTTCATTTGAAGTTGTCATGGTGTTATTCTTGTTGGAAATGTATCCTGACTTGATCATGCACCTGTTGAGTCCAAAACATGGAACAAAACATTATCCAAAGTAAACTTTCTGATTCCCTTGTGTAGTGTTTTTGAAAAGAAACTTTTGACTTGACTTTGTAAAGTTTAACAATTATATTGCACTTGTCTCATAATATTACCAAGCAGCATACAATAAATACATTTTCCAGAAAAAAAGTTGTGTTTTTTTTTCATAAACAACTTTTGGTTTTTGGTTTATATTTTTTACTTAAAACTACTATTTGTAACTTGTTAAAATAGACTAAATTAATATAGTATTTTTTGTGTTTATTGCACTGGCAAACTTAAAAAAACGTGTCCTTACTCTGAGTGGGCTTGCATCTCCACAAACCTGACTTTCATTTGACCTGGGGGTCTCCTCCTGCTTGTTACTATGAAAATGTTCCTGTAGCTATAACCTTTCACAGTATGGCATGAAACATATGGACATGGAGAAGTCCAAAGAAAAGTTTTAACTTTTCTATTTCCATGAAATCAATCAGGTGACGTGCCTCCTCCTGAAAGTTGCATACTGTACCTTTAAAGTAAGTTTGACTCCAAAAGATTAAATGTACAATTGAGGCATTACACCGGCACCTAATATTTTTGAACAAAATTTTATCAATCTGGATTTTAAATCCAGATTGACTAAAACAATAGTGGCCCACCTTTAGGACTTGTTCTGGTGCATCACTACATGGGGCATTCTTTACTTAGTTATACTGAGCAGACTCGACTTCTCCGCGCCCGTCCTGTCAGTTGTGCTTCCACATTTCCCTGCAGGCTTAAAATCTAAAGTGAAATCCCACACAGGGCCCTGTCGTCTTGCCTCCATCGCTTTTGGCACAATCTCCACTTTCTTTGGCTATCTACAGTTTGTGCTATATGTCTCCCTTTCAGGCCTCTTTGCCCTAGATTCCCTTTTGACTGACTGTTATTTTCATAGGCCAGAGGTGCAACTGTGAGTGCAGCCCTTCACAAATGCTTTGCTTTCAATCATAAATTCGAATGAGAATTAAAGAGGTTTGTTCAGAAAAAGTGTGGCAGTTATCATCAATCTGCCTGTGTCACTGATATGTAGTTTTAGAGATGTAACCTGTAATTCATAAATCTTTAAGGGAGGTTTCTGTCAATGAAGTGCACTCCATTGAGTTTAGTTTCTTTGCTAAAGACCCTCCCACAAAAGCAGAGGTAGTTTGATCTAGTTTGATTGGCTCATATTCTGACTCCAAGGCAGGAACTATCAAGTTGGTGGTGATGCTATGAATAGTTGATATTGGCATACCGGGCCTTGTTGAAGGACTGTGAAAGCTAGCTTTTGCGGTGAGGGTTGGGATTATTTAGAGACAGAAAAATGAAAAATGAGAGAAAAATAATGGGTGGAAACATGCTAGGAATGCTGGGACAGAGGTTGCTTTTCCTATTTCTTGGTTTGCTGTTTAGCTTTAGCATTAGCCTGAAGCAACAAAGAGATAGCTATGTCAATAATAGACAGAAGAAGCTCTAATTATCTTCTCCTCATATTATTATTTATTGTTCATCAAAGCTGTAGCATTGAAACTCAAGCTTGAAATAGGGTGATCAGATTTTCAAATTTAAAACTGAGACACACCCAGGTTGGAATGGGTGGTATAACAGAGCGTTCTATTCTGCTTGGGACTCAGGGAAACCTAGCCAGGCTGGCGCCACCTAGTGCTTTCGCTCAATTTTATTTCCAGCGACTAGGTCAGGAATCAAAATACAATAGACGGTTCACAAAAACCCTGGAAGTGCAAGTTCGGGCACCAGCCAATCAGCGAAGAGTGAGATATTCAGTGTTGGATTTAAAGCCGGAATAAAGAGAATGTTTGGTGAATTTCATCAAGGGAAAGACGTTATTCCCCTTTTTCCTACAGATTTGGGAAAAGCTTAATATACCATTTTGCCAAGTTAGCGGCGCATTACATACGTCATGACCAAATAGCAGCGATTGGTTAAATGTAAAAAAGTACCTGCCTACCGTTGAGTGAACAAAATCTAAGGCTGCGAGGTCAGGCGGTTTGTACGAAGTGAAACGACGTAAAACCGGCTAGGGAAAACCAACCTCCACCTCAACAACGTGCAATGGAACAGCCAATCATATCAGGGTTCTGAAACACAAACTCGGGCTATAGTTTGGAGCAGACTGAGTCGGATGGATTTCTGAACATGTCGTAGTCAAGCTGCCATAATTGAGTCGCCGACAGCTAAAGGTAGCTAACAGACCCTATTTATTAGCAGGAGCTAGCGATACCTGACTTTAACTACATAAGCTAACAAAAGAAACAAAAACTTCCATCCATATTTCCCCAACTGTTGCATGGGAATGCATTTACAACGGATGTTGGGAGAACTGACTAGGATTTATCGAGTACCAACATTCAATAGAACGAAGCATGAGTTCGGTGCAGATGGGTTGGTTGGATTTATATATACTTTATAGCTGTCGGCAACTAAATTATGGCAGTTTGATTATTACATGTTCAGAAAGCCCGAGTTTGTGTTTCGGAACTCGATTTGACTGGCCGTTCCATTGCACTTTCTTAGTGGGGTAGGGGGAGGTTGGTTTTCTCCGAGTCCTGAGCAAAACAGAATGCGGCATTACGTCACAGCAAAAATGGTAGCGCACACAGTAATACATATAGCCTACATAACGTTACAATTGTATCAATAGCCACCTCTGCTAACCGTTACACCAACACAAACTACTGTTACTGTTACCGGTACCAAATTACCGCTATTACCGTTACACCGATACAAATTTTAAGTTATGTGATACCCTAGGTTACATGATCCACTAATGAACAAAATTATACTTACATCTTTCGCCACCTTTGTTCAGTCAGTCCTGGCTTAGTTTATGTAGCCTGATACGCCTTACTTATGGTATTCACAACAAAATAATAGCTTTTTTCTCGGGCATCCACATTTTCCCCAACTGTTGCAATGGAACGCATTTACTACGGATGTCGGAAGAACTGACTTGAATTCATCCACTACCGACATTAAATATAATGCGGCTTAAATAATATTGTGAAAAGAGCATGTCACAACTGAGTGCATTTTTTTGCTGTATAGCCATTTTCAAGCAGTCTGTATTTTAGCTACATAAATGACAAAGTATTGCCCCTTTACTGTACTGTGGGTATCAAATCGGTCTTGGTTTTGGATAAAAATGCTGGGACATAGGGGCACAGGGCTCAAAACTGGGACTATGTTGGATAAATATGAACACCTGGACACTATAGCTTAAACCGTATGCGTAAGATTAGCATTGTAGCCTGCTTCCAGCATAGCAGCCTTAGCCTCAAAGGTAATGCAACTGTTTTAGCACAATAGAAGTAGCTAAATAGGTCCAGTAACAGATATTTTATTCATCAAAAAAACATGTGTTTGGGGGTAAAATTTATTCCAGAGGTGTTTGTCCGAGAGTTGAGAAAACAAAAGAGCAAGCTTGAATTTCCGAGGTACTTTTTGTGCAACCTATGTGATTTGTAAGTTGTTTGACCTGTGGGGCAGCCTGACTATAATGAGCTCCTATCCAGCCCTATCTCTTTGCGCTTCCTGAATTGAGCCCAACTTAAAAAGGAATTAGAAATATCCTGCTCTGAGGACACAGCCTTTCGGAGGAAAAAGATGAATGGCATTAAGAAACTTGACTTGCAGTGCTTTTTTTGCGGGGAGCAATTTGCGGCGGCGCTCTCCGATCTTGTGTAGCCCCTCTGTGATCAAGTCTCTTCACTGTCTTTCTCTAGTGATTATTTCGACTCATCAGAAGTCAAGAGTGCAGCCAGGGGATAGTGGCGGACATCTTTTTTTCTCCCTCCGCGGGCCCTGCTTACTCACCACTACAGTGAAGGTCAGTGGATGGACTCGTTCACCTCCTCCTTCAAATCACCAGCCTGCTGCACTACTGTTCTGCTAATGAGTGCCCGAGCTAAACACAGTTAATATTACAGTGCACTGACTTTGTACTGTGGACCTCATTTTCTGCCGCAGTCTGGCTTTGTTGATCTGTAGGTAATGCTCTCCACTCTAGGTGCCTCCTACCTTTATTGAAAAAGCCCGGCGGCCATTTTATGCCAGCTAGATAATTATAAACGTAACCCGTGGCGAAAAAGCAAAACACAACTCCCACATCCCTCTCTTTCTCTCAGCCTCCCTCGCTCCTCTCCACCCTCAGCCTCAGGAGCTGATTTCAAATTTTCAAAGATATCTCATAGTGAGACCGGGCAAGATTGAAGGCTCATAAATATCTTTATTATAATATAATGGCCACATATTTCTAGCCATTATTTCTACTGGAAAAATTAGTTCATCCGTATGATGAATTCCTCTACACTATATAGGGGTGTAAATGTTCCTGGATGGACAATCACTAAAGGATAATATCTCAAACAGGACACTGGCTCTAAAATAATGTGTCAGCGTCTATGGAAAAAGGGGAGAAATTGGTACTGTTGAATAAAATACAATGAGCCTGTTCTTGTAATAAATTATGGTGGTAATTAGAACATATCTACTTTACTTTAAGTCTGAAACTTCCAAAAGACGATTCCAATTTCAAGACAGTAAAACTTTAATAAAAAGTGTAGCTGTATTGCATAAGATACTATATGACACTATACTATACTATAGACAATTTTCTGTTGAAAAAAGTACTGTTTAACTGTTATTTCTGTCTACTTGTTTAGAAGTAACCTCTAAAGTCTTATGTCAAAGGGGAGTAATCGATCAGCTCAGTGTCCCAAGTATGGAGGATCTGGAACCAGAGAAAGTCAAATTTTGTGACATTCCAATTACAGCCACTGGTTTGTAGCACGTCTCTCAAATGCAGAAAATATCTCCTCGGAAAATGCATTTCTCTAATTGGTTAATCCGACTGTCAGTCATACCCTTTAGGAAATCGACAGGATAGGGGTCTTGACCTAACTATTGCAGGTCCACATGTGACTCAGAATCACATAACAGAGCAACAGCAATAGACTGTAAATGGACATAGCTAACCTATTAGCCGCCACGTTCCAAATATGAAGTGAGCATGGGCATGCTTCCACCTCCATTAACTACGTTTTCCAATTCACTACCAATTATTTGTTTGAAAAAACATTTCCTCTGTTACTGCTGCCATTCAGACTCCTTATT